AACATTTTTATGCAGTTGGCTCTGGTCATGATATATACTTAGAGAAGAACCAGCTACCCATCTTTCCCACTGAGCACACTGCCATTTGTAATTCATTTTCAGTAGATCACTGCAACAATCATTTGTTGAGTACCTACTATGTATAAGATGCTGCAAGGATGTTGATGACAATAGTGATAGTTAAAGTATATTAAGCATTTCCTATGTGCCACACATTGTGGCTAAGCACTTTATATGCGTTAGATCATAACCTTGGCAGCAACTCCATGATCTAGGTGTTATTGTCTCCATTTCACATTTGAGGAAACTGAGTGTAGATCAATTTAAATAATTTGCCAAGGTCACACAACTAGTAAATAGGGAAAGGTGGCATTCAAACCTAGGGACTTCCACTCTGGCAATAGAGCATGCTAGATATTCTGAAACACCCCTCCCCCGCAAACATCACCACCACCAGCAATAAAACACTAAAAATGTAGGATAAAATACAAATATCTTCTTAAATGCATAACTAAACACAAGAAAGTCAGGGAAATCTTCAAGGGTGAAAAATGAAAAGGAAGCAGGAATCTAAGGTTGTATGCTGCTGCTGCTGCTAAAGTTGCAGCTGAATGGAAAGCCATCTAGCATTACCTGGAATCTAGAACCTTCGGTATTGGGTAGGGAGACTGAAATTTGTAAACGTACTCTACACTTATAAATTAAAGAAACAATTTCTAAGCCACTGTAATCTCTTGCCTGGATTATTACCCTCTTATTGGTTTCTCTGCTTTTACCTTTGTCCCTTATATTCTGTTGTCGACACAGCTGCCAGACTTGCCCTTTTAAAATATAATTCAAATCATGTTGTTCTTCTGCTCAAAACCCTCTAATTGCTTCTCATCCTACTCAGAGGCACTTTCCTAAATTAACTCTATGATTTTGTCCCTCAGTTCCCTCATGTCTTTGCTTACATGTCACTTTCTTGGTGAGGTCTATCCTGATAACTCTATTTAAAATTTTACCCATCCCTCTCCAGCACCCTCACTCCCTCTTCCCTGCTCTTTTGTGTGTCCCTCTTTCTATTATTGCTTCTGCTTCAGCCAGTCTTATAGCATCCTTCAAGATTAGTATACATGAAAGCTGCACAAATCAAGACACTTTTATTA